ATTATGTTTTTCTTAAGATGTTGTTAACTTTTTTGATATAATTACTAAGAACACCATACTGAGAGATATGGTTGATTAACCATATTAAGTGGATGTCCTGGAGAAGGAAGATAACCTTTGCTGAGCTGTGTAATTTGTGGAGGAAAAGATGAGAAAAATTGGCAGACAGAAAGGAGGCGGCTATTAGATTTTAAAATAACTCAATAGAAAGTTCTGAATCTGACTTGGAGAAAGAGAAGTAAAAGATATAAGCAGTTGTATGCTTATATGTCTGTTCTTGTTGAAAAACAAGGAAGAGAGTTGTGCAAAGCCTATATATGTATTTTTTAAAAAAATATATATTTTATTGATTTTTCACAGAGAGGAAGAGAGAGATAGAGAGTTAGAAACATTGATGAGAGAGAATCATCGATTAGCCGCCTCTTGCACCCTCCCCCCCCCACTGGGGATGTGCCCGCAACCAAGGTACATGCCCTTGCCCGGAATCGAACCCGGGACCTTTCAGTCCGCAGGCCGACGCTCTATCCACTGAGCCAAACCGGTCCCGGCCCTACATATGTATTTTTGAAACTGCAAAGAAAAGCGGTTGGTACTGGTCAGTAGCTATGCAAAAATGTTACTTGTACTGGTTAGGTACTTTGTGTGTGTGTGTGTGTGTGAGAGAGAGAGAGAGAGAGAGAGGGAGGGAGGGAGGGAGGGAGGGGGAGAGAGAAGAAAGAAAAAAAGAGATGAATATGGATGCAAGAGTCTGATGATGAGTACAGAATATATTTCAATTAGAGGATTGTTTTGCTCAGTGAGTGCTGTAGTTGAATAAGATTCTAATCAAAATATTTGAGGATAACGGGATAAACAGTGTTCAACCTAATTTAAAGAGAAGAATCCACAAGTTTGGGGAATGGATGAAGAAACAAGACAAAACTAAATGTTTTAATATTGCTTATCTTTTTAAAAGTACATAAGTTATTCACACATTTGCAGGCAATTTTCACTGAGATCTAAGTTTTTAGAACTACCCATAATTATTTTGATTTTCTTTGACTCAACAGTGTGTAATAAGGCTTTTATTTTATCTTTTTCTAGATCTTGGATTGTAATACATAATTTCTGCTATGTGATTTTCTAGAAGTTTATAATTTTACCAGAGGCCCAATGCACGAAATTTGTGCAAGAGTAGGCCTTCCTTCCCCCGACTGTGGGCACTGGCTTCCCTCTGGCTGCCGGCAGGCACCTGGGAGTTGGGCTTCTCTTGGAGCCCTGGCTTCATTTATCTGGAATGATGTCTAATTACACTTTTATAGATTAGTCTCTCTTAGAGCTTCCAAGTTTCATTCCCCATCTTGCATCCCACTATTACCTAGAAATCTATCTCAGCTCCTGTTCTATTACATCGTGTCCACTTTTTCTCATGCCATCTGCCTTGATATCTTAACTGTCTTTCTTGCATGGATTTTTAACTACTACTATGTCTTCCTTGCCCTCACCATTCTCCTTGTCTTTAAAACTGTAGCTTGAATGTCTCATGTTGAACATGGTTAAATTGACTTCTTTATTTTCCTAACACCTCCTTCATTCTTACTTATCTTCTAGTCACTGGGAAGGTGTAGTTATAAAACCTGGCAATAAAAGAGATGGAACATATACTGGCCTTTAATCCAGTGTTGCTTCCCATCCCACAGCCCTCTCTGACTAGCATGAAATCATACAGTTTACTTGTTATCTTCATACTTTTTTCTCCATTCCTATGAATAGATGTTTGACTAATTAGGGTATGCTTGAGCTACAATAATTTTCTGCATATACTTTTACTTGTTTCACTATCTTCAAAGGTATAAACTTAAGTTATTTTATTACTTCCTGGAAAGAAAAAGAAAAAGCAAACAAACATCGGAGGATAAATATCTCAGTGTGGAATTTTGAAAAGTAGTAGTCAAAAAGTTATGTAGGTAAAAAGATTAAAGCACATAATGACTAATATCCCACTAATGCATGAAAGTAAAGGTTGGGCCTTTGGAAGGTTAGAATTCCTATTTACTGTGAGGGCATAGACCATGTGGATTTGCAAGGGCTGGGGTGGGGTAGAGATAGGAAGCAGATTTTGGGTATGGTTAAGTTTTAGGTATTAAAACATCAAGTGGATTTGGCTATTAGTGGATGTCCTATAGTCACTTTTAATCTAGAAGAATCTCCCTCCCTTTTCATTTAAAAATATATATTTTATTGATTTTTTTTTTATAGAAAGGAAGGGAGAGGGATAGAGAGTTAGAAACATCAATGAGAGACAAACATTGATCAGCTGCCTCCTGCACACTCCCTACTGGGTATGTGCCCCCAACTGAAGTACATGCCCTTGACCAGAATCGAACCTAGGACCTCTGAGTCCACAGGCCGACTGTTGGCCTTGGCTAACTTTGACCACTTGGTGTATTTCCCCATTTATAATTAGTAAGTAATCTGTGGGGAAATGTTAGGGCTCCCAACAACTTTCAGTATTTGTTTTCATTCTCTTTACCCATTCAATACATAAACTTGAAAAATACTTACAATTTTAACAATTTTACAAAAGTTGTTTCTCATGTTATTAGAAGTTTAAAAAGGTATTCTGTCAGAATAAAACTGAGGGGCAGAAATGAAGTTGACACAATGTGGAAATGGAATAGGGGAGGCAGTGGAAAAGTGTACTTGTGTTTGGAGGATGTTGCAGACAGTGGTGGCATATAAAATTGTACTGTGTTCCTTGTAACCAGAAAGTTATACTTCTGTGTGCAACATTGTACTTATAGCTTTCTTTAAGCAATTTTGGCCAAAGTTAATGAAGTTTATTTTTTTTTATAGGTTTAAATTAATACTGGATATTTCTGTCTCCTTCTAAGGTAAGTTTTATTTTTTATTTTTTTGAAACAACATCAATATATTAAATTTGTTATTCAAGTAGTTTGTCGAGAAAGTAAATTTTAGTTACTGATGTATCACTAACTTATTTATCAACTGGGCTTATGGGGTTATCTGTTACAGAGAATAATGATCCTCAGGGGAATGCTTGTTAGTTACTACACATCAGCATACAGTAATATCATGCCCAGTACTTGGGTGCTGAGGAAAATTGGTAGGTTGTCATGGGACCCAGGGTAAATATTTTTGATACACTTAATATTCAGAATTGCTAAGGTTTGATCTGTGAGCTTTGGGTTGAGTATATTAGTTTCCCAGAGCTGCTGTAATAGAGTGCACAAAGTGAGTGGCTTAAAACAACAAAAATTTATTCCCTCACATTTCTGGAAGCTAACTGTCCAAAATAAAGGCATAAATAAGTCTGCTCTCCTACTGAAGGCTTTAGGGGAAGGTCCTTTCTTGCCTCTTCCCAGTATCCTTGGCGTTTTGGCTTACAACTGAATCACCACAGTTTCTGTCTTTGTGTTCATATGGGCTTTTCCCCTCTGTGTCTCCTCTCCTGGTTTTCAAATCTCCCTCTCCTTATGAAGACACCAGTCATTGGATTTTGGGGCTTGCCTTAATCATGTATAACTTTATCTTAAGTGGATTATATCTGAGCAGACCCTATTTCCAAATAAGGTTTTTACAGGTCCTGGCTTTAGGACTTCAGCATACCTTTTTTTGCGGGGGTGGGAGAGAAGATACTTCATCCCACTGTAATTGTGGCTTGACTTGAGTTGCAGCAGTATTGAAATACTGTAATCATTTTGAAGTTTGAAAGCTATGTTCTGAGGTACAAAATATTTTGGAATTCATATAGAAATTAAAGTGAAAACTAGAGCACTGGCTGGGTGACTCACTTGGTTGGAGCATCGTCCCATACACCAAGAGGGTTGCAGGTTCGATTCCTGTTCAGGGCACATACCTAGGTTGCAGGCTCAATCCCCAGTTGGCTTGCGTAAATTAGCAGTTTCTTTTTCAGTGTATTTTGTCTAACAATAACAATGTTGTATTTTTTATATTAGGAAATGAAAAATATAATTGGATAACTTTTTAAAAAATATATTTTCATTGATTTCAGAGAGGAAGGGAGAGGGAGAGAGAGATAGAAACATAAATGATGAGAGAGAATCATTGATTGATTGCCTCCTGTATGCGCTCTCCTGGGGATTGAGTCTACAATCTGGGCATGTGCCCTGACAGGGAATTAAATTGTGACTTTCTGGTTCATAGGTCGATGCTCAATCACTGGGCAACACTGTCTGGGCTGGGTAATGTTTTTTTTAAAGCTCATTAATGCGCCGAAACCAGTTTGGCTCAGTGGATTGAGCATCGGCTTGGGGACTAAAGGGTCCCGGGTTCGATTCTGGTCAAGGGCATGTACCTTGGTTGCGGGCACATCCCCAGTAGGGGGTGTGCAAGAAGCAGCTGATCGATGACTCTCTCTCATAGATGTTCCTAACTTGCTATCTCTCTAACTTCCTCTCTGTACAAAATCAATAAAATATATTTAAAAAAAAAATAAAGCTCATTAATGCTCTTGGTCATTTTAAAAATGAAGAGTACAATTTCATTGAAATTCAACTCCCAACTTCAAAGATGATTTTAGCTAAAACATACAGTGAACCTAGATCAGTGCCTGGCCTATGGGAAGTACCTATTACTGAGCCTTACTAGAAAATGAAGGAGGTTTGAGGTAGTCATGAAAAGAAGGCAAGTTCTTACCTCTTATTTTTGATAGTCTTGTGTCTGATTCGTTAGTAGTGTATTTACTATCCCAATCATTGGTTTGGTATTGGTCATAAATAACTGAAAAATGTACATTACAGTATTATGAGAATTTTCTAATGTAAAAACAATAGATTCATATTTACTTTCTGAGTTTGAGATTGAAGGTAATAAATGACTTGTATTATGTGATGCGTGTGAGTAAATCCAGACTCTATTAACTTGTTTCTTCATTCTGTTCTTCTGTTTAAATGAAAATAGCTATATTAATCCACCAAGACATAAGGCTATAATGTGGCATACCATGCTTTTTGAGAGGTGAATATTATTGAATAAAAATGGCTGACAGAAGTGGCAAGATTGTTTCAGGACAAGTGTTTATCGAAGTGGAATATGATTATGAATATGAAGCAAAGGACAGAAAGATTGTGATAAGACAAGGGGAGCGATACATATTGGTGAAAAAGACCAATGATGACTGGTGGCAAGTCAAACCAGATGAGAATTCTAAGGCATTTTATGTTCCAGCCCAATATGTTAAGGAAGTCACCCGCAAAGCTCTGATGCCGCCTGCTAAACAGACAGTTGGACTGCCAAATAATTCTATGAAAGTGATTCAGAGTCTGCATCTTCAGAGATCAACAGAAAATGTGAACAAATTGCCTGAGCTTTCAAGTTTTGGAAAGCCATCATTGTCTGTTCAAGGAACAGGTCTTATTCGTGATGCCAATCAAAATTTTGGACCCAGTTATGATCCAAGTCAAACTGTCAACCTAAGTCTGGACCTCACCCACAATAATGGAAAGTTTAGCAGTGATTCACATTCACCTAAAGTTTCCAGCCAGAATAGGACGCGCTTATTTGGTCACTTTCCTGGTCCAGAGTTCTTGGACGTAGAGAAAACTAGCTTCTCCCAGGAACAGTCTTGTGATTCAGCAGAAGTCTCAGAAAGGGCCCATCAGGATTCTGAGTCTGGTGATGAACTTAGCAGCAGCTCCACGGAACAGATAAGGGTAAGATTAAAAGAATGATGAAACGTGTACCTTAATAAAAATAAGAATTACAGATTTTAATTTAATTAAAAAATCTTTGTAAGAATTAAGAATCATTTGTTTTACTTTGTTTACAAAATACATGAGTTCCATCCTGAATTAAAGAAATAGAGAATATGTAAATAATTTGTAGAGTTCACTTTATGGTTTCCATATTCTTGGATATTTATAGGACTAGAAGTATTTTATGTGTGGAAAAAATTTTCTCTTTATTGATTATACATGCGATAGAAAGATCTTAATTTACCCAGAGATGATATTTCTTTTATTAGAAAAAGTTTGTTTTCTAGCAGTACTCATTTTGACTAGTTTCTGATAAGTCTCCAGGTAATAATGGATATACGGGGAAAGATGTTACTGGAATATTAACCACTAAATCTTGTATTTCAAAACTTATTTATTAACCTGGAATATTAAGAAAACAGTAAAGCTCATAAACCTTTACCTCCATTCATGCACTTTCTTGTGTATCCATGTTTATTTGCATTATCTGAAAAAAATTTTTATGTGTCTATTGTTTGGTTTCTAAAATTTTTCCTTCACTTTATTTTGAGATTAGTTTATGCCAGTTTATTAGTCAGGTATAGTGAAGTAATTTTAAAAGCACATGCCTAAAATTGAAACTTAAATGTATAGGATGCCCCCCAAAATGTATATATACTTTGAATGATTGTAAAGTCAGTGCTTATTAACATACAACTCATTTTCAAAATTAAATTAGTTAGCAGCTATTAAAGTGTATGTACAATTTTTGGGGACACCATATATTTGGAAAAGTCTTCCTCTTCCACCTCCTCCCTCCCTTCTCTCCTTCTCTCCTTCCCCTTCCTCTTCCCCTTTCACATTTCATGTAATACTGGTTTGGTGGTGATGAACTCCTTTAGCTTTTTCTTGTCTGTGAAGCTCTTTATCTGACCTTCTATTCTGGATGATAGCATTGCTGGGTAGAGTAATCTTGGTTGTAGGTTCTTGCTGTCCATCACTTTGAATATTTCTTGCCACTCCCTCTGGCCTACATAGTTTCTGTTGAGAAATCAGGTGACAGTCATATGGGTACTCCCTTGTAGATAATTAACTATTTTTCTCTTGCTGCTTTCAAGATTCTCTCTTTGTCTTTGCTCTTGGCATTTTAATTATGATATGTCCTGTGTGGTCCTCTTTGGATTCTTCTGTGTACTTCCTGGACTCATAAGTCTATTTCTTTCACCAGGTAGGGAAAGTTTTCTGACATTATTTCTTCCAATAGGCCTTCAATATCCTGCTCTCTCTCTTCTTCTGGCACCCCCAAAATCTGGATGTTGGTATGCTTAAAGCCGTCCCAGAGGGTCCTTACCCTATCCTCACACTTTTGGATTTTTCTTTCTTTTTGTTTTCCTGGTTGGGTGTTTTTCTTTCCTCATATTTCAGATCTTTGGTTTGATTCTTGGGGTATGTTGATCTACAGATGAGTTTCTGTATATTCTTTAATTCAGACAGTGTATGCTTAATTTCTGATTGGTCCTTTTCCATTTTTTTTTTTTTTTTTTTTGCATCCTCATTAAGGTCCTTGTAAGTCTCATCAAGTTTCTCAGCAGTCTTTAGAAGGTTCTTGAGTAACCCTATAAATGTGGTTTTGAACTCTATGTCATCCAGAAGTTTGCTTTCCTTCGTTTCTTTCATTCGTGACATGTTTCTTTGTCTCTGTATTTTGACTGCTTCCCTGTGTTGATGGAGTGGCTTTGTATGGTAGGTGACCTACGGGGTCCAATAGCTCAGCCTCCCCAATCATCTGAGGTGGATGCTTTTGGTACACCCCTTTGTGGGCTAAGTGCAAGGTATTGGTGTAGTTAAGCCTTGATTGCTATTGGTACAATGGGAGGAATTGACCTCCACACCAATTGGCTGTGAGGACCTGCTGTATCTATAATAGAACTGCTGTGCTGGAGACATGCATATGGTGAAGGAGTTGTTTCAGTGGGACTTTGGTGCTCACTGAGTCAAACTCTTGAATGTGTCACTTATAGATATGAGAGTTGAAATCTGGTGTCTCACATTGACCACTAGGTACACTGGCTTCTGGATCTCCAATGGGGTGCAGTTCAGCTACTGTCTGAGGCCACCCTGCAGGAGCTACAGTGAGAACTACAGTTTTCTCCTCTTTTCTTGGGGTTTGGAGGTTTTGGAGCTGTTTGACCCAGGTTTCAAGTTTGCTAGGTTAAGCAGCAATAGGGCAGGCCATTTATATGCAAAAGCCGCTGCTTGGATCTTGGGTGGGTTTGTAGGTTGTGTGGAGCGGAGTCTCAGGGTGTCAGTAGACTAAGGAGTGGCAAATAGCAGTGGTTGCCTGTCAGCCATCTCTGCGGCTCAGACTGCATCCCAGAACGCGTACCCGCGTCCCAGCGCAGTAAACAATTATTCCTGCGCGCGACTCTGTGAGTAAGCAACCTTCACTTTTCTACCTGATGGCAGACAGTCCAGCTTCTCCTTATAGGAGTTTGGGTCCCCCAAGTCTCCCGAGAAACTGGATTTTAGAGTAATTGGGAGCTTGTCTTCCTTTGGATTGAAAAAAACAATGCCTGCTGCCAGCCCGGATCACGCCTCAATACCTCAGTTTTCCAGCGCTTGTGCACGTCTCAATGCTCTTTTCTCTTTCCTTTTAGTTGTATCGATAGAACTTCCACTCAGCCAGCTTTCCTGTGGTTTTGGGTGATGGACATTTTGTCTTTTAGTTGTAGTTTTGAAATTGTTGTGCAAGGCAACAATTTAGGTGTTTACCTACTCTGCTATCTTGGATTCTCCCCGATTTCCTGTTTTTACCTTTTTTAATAAACACTATATGTTTAATGTTGTTTAATCTTTAAATAAACACTTTGAAAATAAAAACGACATGAATTATAAATGAAAACTTAACAAAAAGGGAATTAAATGTACAGTAAAACTTGAAAATCTTAAAAATAGCAACAAAAGCAACAAAAACCCATGAAAATATTCACAGCACAATATGTGGAGCGAACAGTGGTAGACTGACTCATACTCGAGCAATCTCTCTGAATTCTCTCTCTTGTTGCCTGAGAGATGTATGACTGATCATACAGCATGATAGGGTTGTTGAGGCCAGAAGTGAATTATGTTCGAGCAATGAGGTTTGACTGTACTTCCAAATTTATTGGCTTAGCACAATAGGAATTGGGTATGTGGGAGAGTACTTCTATTATTTATTTATTTATTTAAAAATATATTAATTTTTTTAGAGAGGAAGAGATAGGGAAGGAGAGTTAGAAACATTGATGAAAGAAACATCGATCAGCTGCTTCCTGCACACCCCCTCCTGGGGATGTGCCCCCAACCAAGGTACATGCCCTTGACCGGAATCAAAGCTGGAACCCTTAAGTCCACTGAGCCACACCGGTCAGAACAATGTGGGGGATACTTTCAAAGATGGCTCACTCATATGGTGCTAGTTCAGTCTTCACATGTGTTTGAATGTTGTGACTAGCTTTTCCCTAGAGGGAGTATTGCAAGGTAGAACAAGATAGATAGAAGTTGCATTATCTTTTTTGCCTGAATCTTGGAAGTTACACACTATCATTTCTTTTTTTTTTTTTTTTAATATATATCGATTATAACTAGACCTAATATATATATATCAAGATATATATATATATATATATATATATATATATATATATATATTATATTTTATTGATTTTTTTAAAGACAGGAAGGGAGAGGGATAGAGAGCCAGAAACATCGATGAGAGAGAAACTCCAACCAGCTGCCTCCTGCACACCCCCCACCATTAGATATGCCTGCAACTAATGTACATGCCCTTGACTGAAATCTAACTCGGGACCCTTGAGTCCGCAAGCTGATGCTCTGTTCACTGAGCCAAACCAGTTTTGGCATGTCATATCTTACTAGTATGCAATTCATTCCTGTTCTCTGTGGGTGTACACATCAAGGTCTGAGGACATTGGGACCACCTTGGCTGGCTATCACTGTAAGTATTCAATAAATTATAGCTGTCATTATTATTAATCATTATTTATCCTCACCCAAGGATTTAAAAAGGATTTATTTTCCCCCACATTTTTTTATTCTTTATCGATTAAGGTATTACATATGTGTTCTTATCCCCCTATGGTCCCTCTAATTCTCTCCCTCCCCCACTTGTGCCCTCACCCTTCTGGTGTCTATGTCCATTGGTTAGGTTTATATGCATACATACAAGTCCTTTGGTTGATCTCTCCCCCTTTACCCCACTCAACCCTGCCTTCCGTCTGAGGTTTGACAGTCTGATAGATGCTTCACTGTCTCTGGATCTGTTTTTGTTCAACAGTTTATGTTTCTCATCATATTCCACAAATGGGTGAGATCATGTGATATTTATCTTTCTCTGACTGACTTATTTCACTTAGCATAATGCTCTCCAGGTCCATCCTATATGCTCTTGCAAATAGTAGGAGTTCCTTCCTTTTTGCAGCAGTTTAGTATTCCATTGTGTAGATGTACCACAGTTTTCTAATCCACTCATCTGCTGATGGCCACTTAGGCTGTTGCTAAATCTTAGCTATGGTGAATTGTGCTGCTATGGACATAGGGGTGCATATATCCTTTTTGATTAGTGTTTCTGATTTCTTGGGATATATTTCTAGAAGTGGGATTACTGGGTCAAATGGGAGTTCCATTTTTAACTTTTTGAGGAAACTCCATACTGTTCTCCACAGTGGCTGCACCAGTCTGCATTCTCATCAGCAGTGCACAAGGGTTCCTTTTTCTCTGCATCCTCACCAGCACTTGTCATTTGTTGATTTGTTGATGATATCTGTTCTGACAGGTGTGAGATGGTAACGCATTGTCATTGTGATTTGCATTTCTTGGATGATTAGTGACTTTGAGCATATATCTCTTGGCCTTCTTGTATGTCCTTTTGAAAAGTATCTATTTAGGTCCTTTGCCCATTTTTTGATTGGGTGTTTATC